TTCAGAATGACCTGAGAAGGCGTGGGAAGGGGGAGAGGGAGGAGGGCAACGGGAGGGAGGGGCGGATGGTGAGGGAGGAAGGGATGTGGCGAGGAATGGGGGGGGGGGGGGAGCAGAGCCTGAGGAAGAAAAGAAACTTAGAAGGGGAGAGAAGCTTAGAAGGGAGAGCAGGAGCAGGGGGAGCAGGGAAGGGGAGAGCTCTATGTAGAGAAGCAAGCATGGACTGCAGTGGCGCTAGCCAAACTGATTGCAAGGTTGGGCTCCAGCTACAAGTCCCAGCTGAAGACAGATAATACGAACTAAGATCAAATCAGAGGTGGTGCATCACAAAAAACAATCATCCACAAAACTGCCAAATGAAGCCAATCTGGAGTTTTTCCGTACGGTTTTAAATGTTGGGTTGGAAACTCTTTTAGGAGAAAGTCTAAGTCTTTTTCTGAATGAAGCGTCATATGATTTCAGGATCAACAGCACGTTCCAGAAGACTTATGAAGAAGATACTCCCAAACTCCACCTTGGCTTTTCCCAAAGGCTATTCGGGTTTGAATAGGTGATTTCTTTAGCCTTCTTGGAATGATCATGTCTCTTGTTGGTTTTTTCCATGTATTTTCCACAACTCCTTGAGTGGGTTTGAGGGTGTGCTGGTTTTGTTTAGGAACCATTGGTGTTGAACAGAACCCTGGATAATATAATGGAGCTACACTCAGGTTCAATGACAGCTTAATATTACAATGACAAGTTTAAATGCAACATTAATATGCACTCAGTCTCAGCCCTCGTAGTCTAGCCTTCCTCCTCCCCAATCTGCTCCAGGGCCAAAGTATGCCCTTTGATTTCACCACTGACACCAATCATGATTCCAGTGGCCTTTGATGGCTGCTGCAATTTTAGGCTGCTGCTCTAGGCTCTGCTCTAGGCTCCTATCTAGGATACTACTCTAGGCTCCTCTCCAGGCTGCTTTATAGGCTCCGCCCTAGGTTGCTGCTGCTGTACGATACTCCTCCCTTGCCCACTGCCGTGCCTCCTCCCTTGCCCACTGCCGTGCCTCCTCCCTCGCCCACTGCCGTGCCTCCTCCCTTGCCCACTGCCGTGCCTCCTCCCTTGCCCACTGCCGTGCCTTCTCCCTTGCCCACTGCCGTGCCTCCTCCCTTGCCCACTGCCGTGCCTCCTCCCTTGCCCACTGCCGTGCCTCCTCCCTTGCCCACTGCCGTGCCTCCTCCCTTGCCCACTGCCGTGCCTCCTCCCTTGCCCACTGCCGTGCCTCCTCCCTTGCCCACGGCCATGCCTCCTCCCTTGCCCACCGCCATGCCTCCTCCCTTGCCCACCGCCATGCCTCCTCCCTTGCCCACCGCCATGCCTCCTCCCTTGCCCACTGCCGTGCCTCCTCCCTTGCCCACTGCCGTGCCTCCTCCCTTGCCCACTGCCGTGCCTCCTCCCTCGCCCACTGCCGTGCCTCCTCCCTTGCCCACTGCCGTGCCTCCTCCCTTGCCCACTGCCGTGCCTTCTCCCTTGCCCACTGCCGTGCCTCCTCCCTTGCCCACTGCCGTGCCTCCTCCCTTGCCCACTGCCGTGCCTCCTCCCTTGCCCACGCCGTGCCTCCTCCCTTGCCCACTGCCGTGCCTCCTCCCTTGCCCACTGCCGTGCCTCCTCCCTTGCCCACTGCCGTGCCTCCTTGCCCACTGCCGTGCCTCCTCCCTTGCCACGTGCCTCCTCCTTGCCCACGGCCATGCCTCCTCCCTTGCCCACTGCCGTGCCTCCTCCCTTGCCCACTGCCGTGCCTCCTCCCTCGCCCACTGCCGTGCCTCCTCCCTCGCCCACTGCCGTGCCTCCTCCCTTGCCCACTGCCGTGCCTCCTCCCTTGCCCACTGCCGTGCCTCCTCCCTCGCCCACTGCCGTGCCTCCTCCCTTGCCCACTGCCGTGCCTCCTCCCTTGCCCACTGCCATGCCTCCTCCCTTGCCCACTGCCGTGCCTCCTCCCTTGCCCACTGCCGTGCCTCCTCCCTTGCCCACTGCCGTGCCTCCTCCCTTGCCCACGGCCATGCCTCCTCCCTTGCCCACTGCCATGCCTCCTCCCTTGCCCACTGCCGTGCCTCCTCCCTTGCCCACTGCCGTGCCTCCTCCCTTGCCCACTGCCGTGCCTCCTCCCTTGCCCACTGCCGTGCCTCCTCCCTTGCCCACTGCCGTGCCTCCTCCCTTGCCCACTGCCGTGCCTCCTCCCTTGCCCACTGCCTGCCTCCCCTTGCCCACTGCCGTGCCTCCTCCCTTGCCCACGGCCATGCCTCCTCCCTTGCCCACTGCCGTGCCTCCTCCCTTGCCCACTGCCGTGCCTCCTCCCTTGCCCACTGCCGGTGCCTCCTCCCTTGCCCACTGCCGTGCCTCCTCCCTTGCCCACTGCCGTGGCCTCCTCCCTTGCCCACTGCCGTGCCTTTCCTCCCTTGCCCACTGCCGTGCCTCCTCCCTTGCCCACTGCCGTGCCTCCTCCCTTGCCCACGGCCGTGCCTCCTCCCTTGCCCACTGCCGTGCCTCCTCCCTTGCCCACTGCCGTGCCTCCTCCCTTGCCCACTGCCGTGCCTCCTCCCTTGCCCACTGCCGTGCCTCCTCCCTTGCCCACTGCCGTGCCTTGCCTTCCCTTGCCCACTGCCGTACCTCCTCCTCGCCCACTGCCGTGCCTCCTCCCTTGCCCACTGCCGTGCCTCCTCCCTTGCCCACTGCCGTGCCTCCTCCCTTGCCCACTGCCGTGCCTCCTCCCTTGCCCACGGCCATGCCTCCTCCCTTGCCCACGGCCATGCCTCCTCCCTTGCCACGGCCATGCCTCCTCCCTTGCCCACCGCCGTGCCTCTTGGCTCACCCTTTGGCTCAATCAATGCCTTCCTTTGCCTCACCCTGTGCCTGCTCCCCTTCCTGATATCTTGCCTGACCCCTTGGTTGGCCCCTTGACTGCTCCCTGACTGCTCCCCTGAGTGGTCCGTTCAGTGCTCCCCTGACTGATCCCTTCACTGCTCCCTTGACTGCTCCCTTCACTGGTCCTATGACTGCTCCCTTCACTGGTCCTCTGACTGCTCCCTTCACTGCTCCCCTGACTGATCTCTTACTGCTCCCTTGACTGATCTCTGACTGCTATGTTGACTGATCTCTGACTGCTTTCTGGACTGCCCTCCTGATGGTGCCATTGACTACTGCCTCCTCCACCATGCCTTCGCTCGCTTGCCTCTCTCCTCCTCTGCCCTGTCTTCTCTGCCAGCCTTCTCTGCCCTGCCTTCTCTGCCCTGCCTTCTCTGCCCTGCCTTCTCTGCCCTGCCTCCTCTGCCCTGCCTTCTCTGCCCTGCCTTCTCTGCCCTGCCTTCTCTGCCCCTGCCTTCTCTGCCCTGCCTTCTCTGCCCTGCCTTCTCTGCCCTGCCTTCTCTGCCCTGCCTTCTCTGCCCTGCCTTCTCTGCCCTGCCTTCTCTGCCCTGCCTTCTCTGCCCTGCCTTCTCTGCCCTGCCTTCTCTGCCCTGCTTTTCTGCCCTGCCTTCTCTGCCCTGCCTTCTCTGCCCTGCCTTCTCTGCCCTGCCTTCTCTGCCCTGCCTTCTCTGCCCTGCCTTCTCTGCCCTGCCTTCTCTGCCCTGCCTTTCTCTGCCCTGCCTTCTCTGCCCTGCCTTCTCTGCCCTGCCTTCTCTGCCCTGCCTTTAGTCACTGCTAGCCTTCCTAGCCCTCCTGGAGTCACTGCTTCCTGGCAGCTCCAGTCTTAGTCACAGCTGGTAGGGTTTAGGGGCAGCTCCCCGGTACTCCTCAAATCCAGATTCATGGACGTAAAGCCCCCAATCCCCCCACTGGAAACCCCTCATTTTGGAACAGTAGATAGGATTGTGACGGGTAAAGTGGTCTCGCACCACCCTCCGCACCACTTCCCGCACACTCGTCACCCACCTCGTGTTCTTTCGGTGGGAGTTTGAGAGATTCATGGTGGACTTCTTTACCTTGGACAGGCCATAGTCCACCTGTAAGACATGGGGTGGAATGGCAGGGGGGGATGACACAACTTTTGGTCACCACATGATGATAGCAACTCAGCAGCAAGAACAACCCTCCCATATCCGCCCCTCTTGATCGGCGTCCAATGAAATGGATCACATGGCCTGAGGTGGGAGACAGGGGGCGGTGGAAAGGGTTTTGGACACTAACAGAGTCTGTAGTGGCAAAGCCCTGGAAACATTAAGAGGCGGGCGTTCACAATATCTACTGGCTGATACTCACCACCATGATAATCCACGCAATGTGGTAAGCCTTCAAACAGAGCTTGCCATCACTGGAGTAGTCACGGAACGCTGCCCATGCAGCATCCCAGAAGCGCTTGTTGGCGAATGACATGCCGCTCTCCTCATCCAAGCCCCAAGTGCTAAGGGGTTGGTTTGCCTCTGCACACAAGGTTGGGAGAGGGGGGGCACAGTTGCTAGAGCAGCCTTCAAATTCAAAACACTATTGTTAAAGCATGTAACCCTTACTTGGTGAGAAGTCAGCCCACAGGTCAGCCTTGAGCCCGACTTCCAAGTAGATTTCCGCGGCTCGCAGACCCTCCACAGGAACTCCGAAGGATTCGAGCACCGAGCGCTTGATCTGAAATGCTCGCTCGTTCTTCCACTGTGTATACGCACGCTTGAAACGGTCGACGAGCTTCTGGTCCTTCATTGTCTCCTTAAACTGGATGAAGGAAACTATGTAACCCTCGGAAATTACCCCATGCAGAACTTGCTCACGCAAGTCATGCGTGGGGTAGAAGTTGAGGGCAGCATCCGGGGCGTCCATGCAGAGGCGGTCCCTGGAGACATCAAAGTGGAACTGTATAGGGGAGAGGAGAGGGAGTGGGAGAGTGGGAAGTGGGCGGGTGGTGGGTTGGGGGTGGAGAAGAGGGTGGAGAGGGGAGGGATGACAAGGGGGGAATGTGTGACAAGACAGAACAATGATGGAGTGAAAGTAGCGACAGAAAACAACAAGTAATCAACGCAGTGAGGAGCTCTGGGAAAAGAAAGTCTTGGGGGAACGCAGAGCTGGGGGAAATGCGGCCGAGCGAAAAGCAGAGCCGGGGGAAATGCAGAGCTGAAGGTGGCGCAGAGTTGAGGGTAAAGCAATGCAGGGGGCAAGGCAGGACTGAGTGAAATGCAGAGCTGGGGGGAATGCAAAGCTGGGAAAATGCAGACCTGGGAGAGATGCAGGGCTCTAGGGAAGTCCAGAGCTGAGGGAAACGCAGAGCAAAGGGTAATGCAGAGCTTATGGAAATGCAGGGCTGCGGGAAGTGCAGAGCTGAGGGAAGTGCATAGCCGAGGGGAAATGCAGGGATAAGGGAACTGCTATGATGAAGGATGGGCTTAGGGAAATGCAGAGCCGAGGGAAATGCAGTGATGAGGGAAATGCATGGCTGAGGAAAAAGCAAGGCTGAGGGAAGTGCAGAGCTGAGGGAAGTTCTAGGCTGAGGGAAGTGCAGAGCTGAGGGAAATTCAAGGCTGAGGGAAGTGCAGAGCTGAGGGAAATGCATAGCAAAGGGAAATGCAGAGCTTATGGAAATGTAGGGCTGAGGAAAATGGAGGGCAGAGGAAAATGCAGGGCTGACGGAAATTCAAGGCTGAGGGGAGTGCAGAGCTGAGGGAAATGCATAGCTAAGGGAAATGCAGAGCTTATGGAAATGTAGGGCTGAGGAAAATGCAGGGCTGAGGGAAATTCAAGGCTGAGGGAAATGCAGAGCTGATGGATGTGCAGGAAGTAGGCATATGGGACCATTAAAAAAATAAATTGAAATGATGAAACTGAGGCGTAACGAGACACAACGGGTGCTTGAAATCAGGCCAGTGAACAACACGGCAGAGTTTTGACCATGCATGGGGGACCTTACCTTCATGTTATCAGAGGTGGGCATCCCATGCTTGCGTACAATGGGTTCACCCTGGACCCCACTCTCAGCAACGAAACCGGCCGAGGCCTCCCGTGAAGGAGGACCACTGGACATTTCCGCCAAGGGAGGAACCTGTGCACGAGGTCCCCCGTTGTCCGTTGCTGACCCCTTGCGCGACTTCAGCTCTGCAATTTGCTTTTTGGCGTCCTGCAAAGCACGGAACAACTGCTGAATGGTCACGCTATCATGGCCATCCGCATCGCCTACCGATGCATCACAACCAAGGCATCACTAGTGCCAAAGTTGTGGGCACCAAGACGGCTTCGGTTGCCCTCCTTGTCAGCTGCTGAGGAGGGTTTGGACTGGGGCTGCAGCGAGGCTACACCAGCAGGACTGCTACCAGGGCCTTGGTGGGCTGCTTCGTCATTCTGGCCAGCATAGTCTCCAGCTGCATTTGCCCAGACGCCATGCTCCCCAGTTTCGGCAGCCGCGTGGTTGCTGCCAGCTAGCCAAGGTCTGTGTTCGCGGTCGTACCCCTTCGCACTCGTGTTCATGTGCGCGCCACCAGAGAACGCCCCCGCCCCCCTCTGAGGACATGCCGTGCCATCCCACCTCTTCGCCTCCTGCACCTCCAACACCCGTCTTCCCCCATCCTCAGCCACACGCGTGTGGCCCCTCGACAAACGACCATCGGCAGTAGAGGGTGAAGCGAGCGCTGCATAAGGGTCATCTTGAGCTGCGCGTTTCAACCTATACCTCTCCTTACGCTCCTCCAGTGTACCGTCATTCGCCGTCTCAAGAGCTCTCATCTCGTTGTAAAAACCGGTTTCATGCCTCAGCGGTGGACGGTCCATGGACACCCGCAACCTCTCCTTACGGTCTACACGCCTTGCATGCGCATGGTCACGGGAGCTACCCCTGTTATGCCCCTTCCCGCTTCTCTTCTTTTTACCATCCGCACGGTTACTGTGCTTGCCGCCGTGCCTACGACTCACCCCACCCCGCCGACTAACCTGTCTTCCCTCATCATCACTCTCAGGCTCGAGCTCGACCTCCTCACTCTCGTCCACGTATTCCTCATAAACCTCCTCGCTGCCTGAAGATTCGCCAGAATCCTCCTCAGAACTACTCTCGCTCTCGGATTTCGCCTGAGTGTACTTCATGTGCTTACCACGCTGCCCCCTACGCTGGCGCTTCGTTTTGGGCTCATTGTTCCCCTTCTCGTTACGGCGCAAGACGTCCCCAGCGGCAAGTTCACCCTGAAGTACACCCTTATTCGCCGCTGCAAGGTTCGTCTGGTCCCTGGGCTTGTTCGATGCACCGTCCTTCGTCTCGACAGTATCTCCGCCATCATCCACCTTGGGTGCACCTGCTGCAGAAATGCCACCATTACAAGGTAGCTTAGCTGCGGGAACACCTAGCAAGAGAAAGCAACACAGATCGTCGCAGTGGTTTGGAGCCGGTGAAAATTGGTAGCAAAACGTGACGACAGCTGTGCCTAAGGAATATATGCAGGGGTGCAGGACGAAACACACTGCATGTATACCAGCTGACTAACCTTTCTTGGTTGTTGGCTTCGGCTGACACTCCGACAACCGTTTCGTTTTCCGCCTACGTGGCTTCGGAGAAGACACACCACCAGATGCGGCGTATGGCTGCACGTCATCGTCAGAGCTTCCCTCGCTCTCAGAAGACGAGTCCCCTTGGGCATCAGCGCCGCCGCATGCTCCTGACGGGTGCTTCCGACGGTACTGGATTACGACCTGCGCGGTCTTCTCCGGAGTAACTTCCTCGTGAAAGCGCTGTTCTTCGGCTGTCTTGGGAGTATCCTGCAGTACGGTTGCACCGAGGTCGTTGGCAGGGCTTGAGTCACGAGCGGGATGATGGACGAAGTCACCCATGTCGAGGCTGTAGGGGTAGGTGGGAAAAAAGGTTTTGCTGTTGATTGGTGGGGCTATGATGTCATGGGAGACATGTGAGTGCTTATATAGGGGGGGGAAGGGGTGGCGTGAAACAAGGCTGCCAGAGTCGACGGGCGGGAGGCAGTCGGATGTTTCGCAGCGCCTGGCTCGACGCGATTCCAATATACGTGGCTCCTCGCTTTTTTTACACGCTTTGACCGTTAAGATAATCCTGGGCAGTGTAAATTTAATGTCGCCCTTGCGTGCATGGTTAAACATTTATCTTAAAGACAGTGGCTCGAAAATACCCACGATGCCTAGTATAAGCAATCCAGTGGACTTTCTGGGGATCAGTTAAGGTAGGGTCCACAAGTCGTGAGAAGACAGCACACACGTAGACTCAGAATGCATAATCTGGCGGGGTGTTTTCCCACGACGACAAAACAGAGGCTCAGTTGGTCATGCACGAAAATCTTGGAAACGGAAGCACAAAACACGAACGTACGCATCACGGCGCCCTGCGACTCGACTCACCAACGTGTCGCCCAAACACGTCAAGCGCGCGCTTACGTGCAGTTCATGTTTTCCCATGACAGACTGTCGCACCTTCAAGAAACAACCCGGGTAGCTCTAAGTAGCGCTGGGCCATGACGAGAGAGAGTTTAGACTGAATGGGGGAGAACGCCGTAAGCGTGTGACAGATTTGCTGATTGGGTGTGGAAGTGGGAGTTGGACAGGGAAGGGGCTACTGTAGCCATGCCTGAGCCATATTATTTTTACTGTACAAGAGCGACGGGGCGAACTAATCTCAGGATTAATAGACCGATGAGCCACAGGGGGACCAGGACGTTACCAGGGTCAAGAGCCAAGAAACTTCGACGTGTCCGAAGCTGCAATGGGACAGTCTGAAGACGTGGCGGGACGGGAACTGGCAGCAGACGTCGACCGCAAGTCAGCGTCCAACGGACTATCGGTGACAGGACTGGGGATCGGTCCCGCCAAGTCATAAGGAATTCTTTAAAAAAAAACATTACATGTGTTTCCAATGCCTATCCCCTAAAACTCGTACACCAAACATAACTACTAAACCTCAAAGAGTAATAACCAACGCATTGTGGGATGGGAATGCAACACATAATCTGTGTGACAACGTGGGGGAATACCAGTGGCATTCATGGAACAGTGGGCTAGGTCCTGTACAACCATTGAGCCCACGCACTATTTATGCACATCGCCACAACGAGATGACTCTGGTTTTCCCAGTCCTCCGACAGTGTTAACATGCCACATTCCTATGAAGGTTTTGACGTATTTTGGGAAGGTTCCAACCCATTAATAATTGGTGATTCAAGATCCTAAGATCAAGAAAACCGAGTTGTGCCAACGATAAGTTTATAGCATTGTGATTCAGTTTGTGCATGTATGACTTGTTGTTAGAAACTTAGTCACTAACCGCTGAGTTAAAAGGGCTTGTTAAGTAGCTGGTCCGGACACTTGTGTGGATCCGATCCCATTGCATGATACCCTCCAGAGTTCAACCATTTCCAAGAAACGAATGGACAGGCGACGAATTCTAAATCTGTGCATGCGTATTGAAGTGGAAAGACCACTCCGCCAGGTCACGTCTATACTGCCTCCTCCACATTCTCGGGCTTCCAACAAGGTCACAGGACTGCAGGCACTGGAACCTTTCCTCCACCAGAGTATGCATCACCCGCATAACGAACACTCCACAATCATTCTCGTTCTGCTGCAACGGCACCTGCAGTGACGGGTAAAAGACAGCCAGTCAACGCAAATGCAGGTCTGAGAGAGGTGCAGTGTTGGGGAGAGTGCAGAGCTGAGAGACATGCACAGCTGAGGTAATTGCATAGCTGAGGTAGATGCATAGATGAGGTAAGTGCATAGGTGACGTAAATGCATAGCCGAGGTAAGTGCATAGCTGTGGTAAGTGCATAGCTGTGGTAAGTGCATAGCTGTGGTAAGTGCATAGATGTGGTAAATGCACAGCTGAGGTAATTGCATCGCTGAGGTGAGTTCATAGCTGAGGTAAGTGAATAGCTGTGGTAGATGCATAGATGAGGTAAGTGCATAGCTGTGGTAAGTGCATAGCTGTGGTAAGTGCATAGATGTGGTAAATGCATAGCTGAGGTAATTGCATAGCTGAGGTAGATGCATAGATGAGGTAAGTGCATAGGTGACGTAAATGCATAGCCGAGGTAAGTGCATAGCTGTGGTAAGTGCATAGCTGTGGTAAGTGCATAGCTGTGGTAAGTGCATAGCTGTGGTAAGTGCATAGATGTGGTAAATGCACAGCTCAGGTAATTGCATAGCTGAGGTAAGTCAATAGCTGTGGTAGATGCATAGATGAGGTAAGTGCATAGATGTGGTAAGTGCATAGCTGTGGTAAGTGCATAGCTGTGGTAAGTGCATAGATGTGGTAAATGCACAGCTGAGGTAATTGCATAGCTGAGGTAAGTCAATAGCTGTGGTAGATGCATAGATGAGGTAAGTGCATAGATGTGGTAAGTGCATAGCTGTGGTAAGTGCATAGATGTGGTAAGTGCATAGCTGTGGTAAGTGCATAGCTGTGGTAAGTGCATAGATGTGGTAAATGCACAGCTGAGGTAATTGCATAGCTGAGGTAAGTCAATAGCTGTGGTAGATGCATAGATGAGGTAAGTGCATAGATGTGGTAAGTGCATAGCTGTGGTAAGTGCATAGATGTGGTAAATGCACAGCTGAGGTAATTGCATAGCTGAGGTGAGTGCATAGCTGAGGTAGATGCATAGATGAGGTAAGTGCATAGGTGACGTAAATGCATAGCCGAGGTAAGTGCATGGCCGTGGTAAGTGCATAGATGTGATAAGTGCATAGCTGTGGTAAGTGCATAGATGTGGTAAATGCACAGCTGAGGTAATTGCATAGCTGAGGTGAGTGCATAGCTGAGGTAGATGCATAGATGAGGTAAGTGCATAGGTGACGTAAATGCATAGCCGAGGTAAGTGCATGGCTGTGGTAAGTGCATAGATGTGGTAAGTGCATAGCTGTGGTAAGTGCATAGATGTGGTAAATGCACAGCTGAGGTAATTGCATAGCTGAGGTGAGTGCATAGCTGAGGTAGATGCATAGATGAGGTAAGTGCATAGGTGACGTAAATGCATAGCCGAGGTAAGTGCATGGCTGTGGTAAGTGCATAGATGTGGTAAGTGCATAGAGGTGCAGTGTTGGGGAGAGTGCAGAGCTGAGAGACATGCGGAGCTGAGGTAAAGACAAAGCTCAGTGAAATGCAGAGCCTAGCAAGAAAAGCAGAGTGCCGTATGCATCGCTCGGCGAAATGCAATCTGAAGGACATGCACAGCCGAGGTAAGTGCATAGACGAGGTAAGTGCATAGCTGTGGTAAGTGCATAGCTGTGGTAAGTGCATAGCTGTGGTAAGTGCATAGGTGTGTTAAATGCACAGCTGAGGTAATTGCATAGCTGAGGTGAGTGCATAGCTGAGGTAGATGCATAGATGAGGTAAGTGCATAGGTGACGTAAATGCATAGCCGAGGTAAGTGCATGGCTGTGGTAAGTGCATAGATGTGGTAAGTGCATAGCTGTGGTAAGTGCATAGATGTGGTAAATGCACAGCTGAGGTAATTGCATCGCTGAGGTGAGTTCATAGCTGAGGTAAGTGAATAGCTGTGGTAGATGCATAGATGAGGTAAGTGCATAGCTGTGGTAAGTGCATAGCTGGGTGCTGAGATACGGGATAACCTGGAGACTGAGGGACACATTCGACAATGCGACTGCCAAGGCCAATGCCTAAAAAAGCACCTGTATAGTCCTGCATGGAATGCTTGCCGCCCAGGTGTCTGCATCTGTCTCCAAAATCCATGAGCTTTCGCGAAGAACCTGGCTCCTCAAATAACTGCACAGCGTGATGGTAATTCGTGACTACCATACTGACGTCTGCCCAGGAGAACAAAGAAGCGGACGGCCTGTACACATGACTCACGTTCGCAAGGGCAGGTCAATGTCGGTGTGTAATCCGTAGGAATCCGCATGCCATATCGTGCAACAGTAAGGTACCTTCTCCCCTGGGGATTTGATGTTTTCGATAACCGCCAAGCTCCAATGTCCACTGTGAGTGCGGGTCGCGATAAGTAAGCTAGATGTGGTGTAGGAGTGAAATCAAGGGCAATACCATGAATAGTATGAATCCGTAAGAAACAACAACGCATCTCACTCTTTGTTGATGGGCACGACCACGTGGTTGTAGTCTAGGACGTTCTTTCCGTAGGAGTACGGGTTCGTAGACTTCCCGCATGGTCTATCCGCGAACTGCCAGAAATAGGTTGACGTGTAAAGCCAAGACGTATCGCACCTCCCAAGCTCATACTGCAACATCCTGCCGGCGACATACAAACACACACGTCAGAGTCCAAACAACCCGCCCGTATTCCAGGTCATGTTGCATATTTGGTTCTGAAATACTCACAAACCGAGCCACTCTATCACGACGCCGCTTAACCAATTCGAGCGCCTAAGCGTCTTGTAATGCCTTTCGCCGATTTCCAGCCATCCGCCGCCAAAAGGGAAGGGCATGCTAAGAGGGTGGAACTTGTGCATCGTCATAGGTAGTACTAGGCCTGCTGTATTGTTCTACAAACTGGGTAATCTGTATTTTGCGATGGAATCTAGAAAGCTGGATTCTGTCCAGGTTTCGATAGCATGGGCTTCCTTCAGCATACTAAGCTTGTTGAAGTGGCTGGCTCATGGCAGACTCCTGCCCTATATTTGTTTGGGCACAAGCTGCGTGCTGCGTTCTGGGTCACAGGGGTTTATGTCGTGACAAGTCTGGTACTGTATGCTTACGAAGTGTAGTGTTTCCTGCAGTTTGCTCGCTGTTGAGATTAGTTTCCAACTTGCCCAGCGTGCCCGGAATTTTTTAGGCTTCGTTCGTTGGATCGCTCTAATAGGGCACACTGTTAGTGCGTCGCCTCACTTCGCAATCTGTTATTGCGACACCCAAAGGTGTCGCGGAGTTGCTGGTTACCGGTGGCTAACGTTCGAAGGTGGTTCCAATTGGTGAGGTTTTTTAGGTTTGGCATGTGGGGGACGCGTTGATGTCCGCCAACACTTGCTGGCATAACAGGTACGCGAAGCTGCCGAGCTTCGGTCGCCACGCAATATGACAGAAGCTGTCACAACCAAACCGTTTGCCGAGCCTGTCGCCCAAAAGGTCCAAAACAGTGCAGTGACGCTCAACGGTTCAGATACAACATGCTCAACATCAACGAGTAACATTGGCGCCAAACAGTAAATTGAGTGATTGGAGGGATTCCGCACCGCGAGCACAAGTGTGTATTGCCGTGCTGTAATTGGCGAATACTTTTGTAAGAAACGCGGTGCAGTGTAAAAATGACGTGTGTCGCACTGCGGCCCCACAACATCCCGTTACCACATGCCCGTGCGACTGCGAAGATAAGTTCGCAAATAACAGCGCTGGTGCGAGTGGTGCACCACAGTGGCACAGCCCCCTTCCCCTACCTTTTCGCTGTGTCGCACGTTCACATCGTCCCTCATGTCCGCTCAACCGTGTGAGTTTTGTAAGAAGGCATTTTTCTGCTACCAAACCCTAAGAAGCCACCAGGCAAATGACGACAAGTGTAAGCTGAAGCAGAAACGCAAAGCCGAGGAGGATAAGCGAAACGCAAAGCTCAGGCGAACCGACTGTGATCCGCACAGTTTTCCCGGTTTGCTGGCATCCAGGCTCCCTCGCCCGGATCTTAGGATACCGTTGACTGACGCTGCGTACGGGCTGCATCCACGTCCTGACGTTGTTGTGCCAGTCCCAGAACCTACACGCCCAGAACCTACACGCCCAGAATCCGTTTTGGTGGTTACAGAACCGGAAGAAGAGGTTTTCGACCTTAGAGCCGAGTTATGCATATTGTCCAGGACTCACGGCTTTACCAATGCTGCGATTTCCTCGTTGATACAGATCTTCAGGCATCCTGCTCTGCAGCAAGGTCAATTGGAGGGATGGAACAGTTACAGGGACCTCGAGAAATTCGAACAGGACTGCGAGGTGGGAGAGGAGAACGAATGGCATGTGGCGGAGATCGAGATCGATCACGAAGTTGGCTTCCTGACCTTCAAGCACCGAAGCATCGTCAAGGTATGTCGTTCTTGCCCACCGCTGACCTCCGCCCTAATGCTCGGCTGCACTGACGCCATTTGCTCCTCATGGCCGCAGGTTCTGCTGGCCATGTTCAAGACGATGTCGGCCGTCAGTGGTTTCGCGATTGAACCCGAGGAGTGGGTGGTCGATGGCGAACGCCGATACAGCACCCCGCAGAACACAGATTGGATGCTCATGGCATGGGTAAGAGCCGCAGCAATCCCTGCAACCTTTGCCTCTACTAAGTGCAAGCTCGATGCTCATTGTTGTGTACCTATGTTGTGACACCCCCATTGGCAGGAGCGTGTGAAGAAGCTGGGCATAGTACTGGCGATCATTCTGTTCTCCGATCAAACCAACTTGTCGTACAACGGTCGCCAGTCAGCACATCCCTTTGTGATGTCCATGGGGAACATCCCGGAGTGGGCAAGGTGGCTCGAGGGTGGCACGGAGCTGGTTGGCCTCCTGCCGAACATCCCTCCAGATCTGAAGCCGGAAGAGAAGACACGCGCCTTCCAGCAAGCTGCAGACATTTTCATCGAGCCGTTGAGGCGGCTCTCAAAACTGAAAGGGTGAGTCGTTTGTTTGCTATGATCCGATCAAGCCAATCCCCCGAAACTTCTCACCTTCCCATCTTCGCATCTCACAAATGCATGTCACCCAAACCCTGCAATCATGCCTTTCCTTGCAGTGCCACCTTTTTCTGCATCCCATCCGCTCCCGTCCGTGTCCCCATGGTCGTTCCATCTGCTGCAGGGGCGGGTTGCGCTTGCAGAGCAGGGCAGTAGTCAAAGGGGCCCAGGGGGCGGCGGGCTGTCAGGTGACCCAAATCCGTCAGGTGACGGATTCTGGCCGCCAAGCGAGACATGTGCCTTGAGATTTGGACCGACTGACAAATGCTCGGAGGGTTGGGAGGGCTGCTCCGAAGCGTCAGCTGCATGTGCGTCACCTCCCACAATGCTAGCAGCTACAGCCGGCAGCAACCCATGGCTGAGAGACAAGGACCGACACATTCCCCTCCTGCTCCTCCCCCCTGCTGACGTCACCATGCCACGTGGCAGGGTTCCTGTTCTTGCATGATCCTGGCTTCCAATGCTGTTGTGCCGCGCGCCCGACTCAGCGGCACCCAAGCTGTTGTATCGCACAGCCAACTCGTTACTGTCACCCTCCCGCATTGTTGTCACAACGCCGCTGCTGCTCCACCCCTTGAGGCGCCTCCCCGCCCCCAACAGATGCTTCCAGGAAGCACCCAACTTGGGGGGGCTGCTCTGAGCCAAAGTCGTTCGCTGCTGCCTTGACACCGGCCCTTGCCCCTGCGGCAACGGGTCTGCCGCAGGCCCTCCCCCTGCCTGGCCAACGCCGATCTCAGAGCTCGGAGTGATTTCATCGCTCGTCTGTGAAAGCAAATCGCCCCGTCTTGCGGACGTGTTCCGTTTGACTTTGTATAATGTCTTCCATCATGCTGTGTCAATGCCTTTGGCTGCAGGGGAGGCTTGGAGGTGGAAGACAGCGCTGGGGTGTGCTATCGAGCTTTCCCGCTTCTCTACGCGTACGTTACAGATCACCCTGAGTCTTGCAAAGTCACGTGCACAATGGCATGCAACTCCTTCCGGCCATGCTCCATATGCCTTGCTGAAAAGCCGAGGCTTGCGGAGGTGGAAGACCCGATTGTTTTGCGAACAGTGCGTGATCAAGGGCGCTTGTACAAGCAGATGGAGTCCGCCACCACCAAGAAGAAGCTGTCCGCATTGAGGACCACCTACTCGACGCACTTTGTCAAGGTACTACTGTTCCCTCCAGCCATAGCGGAATGCATACTTGTGAGCAACACATGGGCTGCTGAGTAGGGTTGGATGATTCGGACCCCCTGTTGCACGCGCTTATACCTCCTCCCCCCCCGCATCTCTACTTGCATGTTGTTTATGGCCTGCTTTTGGCATGCTCTCTCCCCATTCCCCAAACGTCTCCTTCCCTGCGCCCCAATATTTCAGAGTCTTCTGTGGGACTGGGAGTTCGCAAAAACGATTTGGGGGAACACGTATCTCGCCGTCACACCTGACATCATGCATATTATTGAGCAGGGTTTTGGCTGCATGCAATGAAGTGTCTTGTGAAGAAGCTCACCCCGTCTGAACGGAAGATCCTTTTAGAGTAAGTGGGTCTCTCTGTCCATATCTCCCCTGCCACTTGGCTTGCCCGCCCAAACCCAACCCCCCTCCTCCCGTCCACCCTACGGCCCAAACTTCCCCCCCATTCATCCGGCCAGTCCTCTGTTCCCTCCCCACAACCCTCCCTTCGCTGTGCATTCACTTTCACCATATATTCCGTGACGACGTCTTCTAAACTTGGAGGTCAGCCACTGTGCACCAGATTTACCGAAGCATGTCGGCCCCTGCTGTCCCTTTCCATCCCGTCCTACGTGTCAGGCGATACAAGTTGCTCAAGGCAATCACACCGGCGTCCCTTTTGCGCCTGCCCCAAGCCTGGGTGTACTTCACAACCACAGCGAATTTTTCAGCATCTGAGCACCGTGCCATGATGCAGGTCTTGCCACTCATCATCGACCTTCCCGAAAGGGTTCACATTCGTCGCGCCATCGTCCGCATCGCGGACTGGTACAAGGAGTTCATCCGTGCAGAGTATCACACTGATGCATCCCTCATCCGCATGGAGACAGCGACTGTCGTGTAAGGCCATAAGGTTGTTCAGACCCTTGAATGAAACTCTGCTTTGCATCAAACTCCAGACTAGTCCTGGGATATCTCTGATCTTTTGCTCCTTCCCCTATGCCTCCCCCCCAACACCCCTCCCCCCACATCAGCATGGTAAAGGCGCTCGTGAAGGCCTTCCCTAACCAGAAGTCCAAGTGGCACATTGTGAAGATCCATCTCCTCGTTCACCTGCCTGCCACCATCCGAGCGCGTGGCCTGCCACAGGAGTACTCATCCAACACGTACGAGCACTCTCACAAGACGACTGTCAAGCGCCCCGCCCGTGGAACGAACTGGAAGAACGTCGGGGACCGCATTGTCAAGAAGCATGTGCAGCATGCTGTGGTTCGCCAGCTGTCTTGCGAGGTTGGCGGTGACAAGACTTACGAGACCGCAATGAAGGAGGTGCGGCTACTATTCAAAATCTTGCCTTTTCCTCAGCTCTGCCTTCCCCCCAGCTCTGCATTCCTCCCAGGCTCTGCATTCCCCCCAGCTGTGCTTTCCCTCGGCTGCAGATTACTCCCCAGCTCTGCATTCCCCTCAGCTCTGCATTCCCCAAGCTCTGCCATTCCCTCAACCCCTGCATCCCCCCCAGCTATTCCTTTCTCTCAGATCTGCATTTCCGCCAGACCTGCATTCCCCCCATCTCTGCATGTCCCCCACCCATCCCTACATGTCCCTCGGCTCTGGATTGCCCCAGTGATCTGGATTTTTCTCAGCTGTGTATTACCCCCAGCTCCTCATTTCCCTCAGCTCTGCCTTTCCCTGAGCTCTGGATTTCCATCGGTTCTGCATTCCCCCCAGCTCTGCATTCCCCCCAGCTCTGCATTCCCCCCAGCTCTGGATTTCCCTCGGCTATGCATTCCCCCCACCTCTTGATTTCCCTTGGCTCTGCATTTCCCTCGGCTCTGCATTTCCCTCAGCTCTGCCTTTCCCTCGGCTCTGCATTTCCCCAACCCTGCATTCCCCCCAGCTCTGCCATTTTCTCAGCACTGCATTTTTCTCAGCTATGCATTTCCCTCGGATGTAGATTACTCCCCAGCTCTGCATTCCCCTCACCTCTGCATTTCCCTCACCTCATTTCCCTCAGCACTGCATTCCCCGCAACCCTGCATTCCCCCAGCTCAGCCATTCCCTCAACCCCTGCATCCCCCCCAGCTTTTCCTTTCTCTCAGATCTGCATTTCCGCCAGACCTGCATTCCCCCCATCTCTGCATGTCCCCCACCCCATCCCTGCATGTCCCTCGGCTCTGGATTGCCCCAGTGATCTGGATTTCCCTCAGCTGTGTATTACCCCCAGCTCCTCATTTCCCTCAGCTCTGCCTTTCCCCGAGCTCTGGATTTCCATCGGTTCTGCATTCCCCCCAGCTCTGCATTCCCCCCAGCTCTGCATTCCCCTCAGCTCTGGATTTCCCTCGGCTATGCATTCCCCCCACCTCTTGATTTCCTTTGGCTCTGCATTTCCCTTGGCTCTGCATTTCCCTCAGCTCTACATTTCCCCAACCCTGCATTCCCCCCAGCTCTGCCTTTCCCTCGGCTCTGCATTTCCCCCAACCCTGCATTCCCCTCACCTCTGCATTTCCCTCACCTCATTTCCCTCAGCACTGCATTCCCGCAACCCTGCATTCCCCCAGCTCAGCCATTCCCTCAACCCCTGAAACCCCCCAGCTTTTCCTTTCTCTCAGATCTGCATTTCCGCCAGACCTGCATTCCCCCCATCTCTGCATTTCCCCCAACCCTGCATTCCCCCCAGCACTGTCTTTCCCCCACCCCTGCATTTCCCTCACCGCTGGAATTCCCATCAGCTCTGCATTCCCCCCGGTTCTGCTTTTCCCTCAGCCCTGCGTTTCCCTCATCTATGCATTTCCCCCAGCTCTGCATAACCCTCTGCTCTGCATTTCCCTCGGCTCTGGAATTCCCTCGGCTCTGGATTTCGCACAACTCTGAACTTCCCTCAATTATGCTTTCCCGCCAACTATGCATAACGCTCAGCTCCGCATTTCCGCCAGACCTGCATTCCCCCCATCTCTGATGTCCCCCTCCCAGCCCTGCATGTCCCTCAGCTCTGGATTGCCCCAGTGATCTGGACTTCCCTCAGCTGTGTATTACCCCAGCTTCTCATTTCTCTCAGCTGTGCCTTTCCCTGAGCTCTGGATTTCCATCAGCTCTGCATTTCCCCAAGCCCTGCATTCCCCCCAGCCCTGCATTCCCCCCATCTCTGCATGGCCCCCACCCAGCTCTGCTCCTCCCTCCGCTCTGGATTGCCCCTTTGCTCTGGATTTACCTCTGCTATGCATTCCCCCCACCTCGGCTCTGGATTCCCCTCTGCTCTGGATATCCATCAACTCAGGATTTCCCCTAGCCCTGCATTCCCCCCCAACTGTACATTCCCCCCTGCTCTGCATTTCCCTCAGCCCTGCACACCCGTCAGCTCTCCATGTCCACCTCCGAGCCCTGCATGTTCCTCACCTCTGGATTTCCGCTGATTTGCATTTTCCCCAGCTCTGCATTTCCCTCAACTCTGCATAACCCTCAGCTCAGCATAACCGTCAGCTCAGCATTTCACTCAGCTCTGGATACCCCTCAGCTCTGGATTTTCCTTCGCTGCGCATCCCTAGCTCTGCTTTTCCCCCAGGTGTGCTTTTCCCTCCGCTCTGCATAACCTCTAACTCTGCATTTGATTTCAGCCCTGCAGCTCTCATCCACGGCCCTCTGTCCCCCTTTCCACCCCGTTATCCCCTTCTGTCATAACCCCAGGCGTGCACCGTGGGCCGTAGGGTGCTGACCAAGACGCACAAGAGGATGGTGGTGGGGGATAGCACGGATCCAATGTGGAGGAGCTACGTCGCGGTCCTGGGGAAACCTGCGATGGACCAAATGGCGTCCCACCTCAAGCTGGCGGGCGTGAAGACCCAGGTCCTTCAGGTACGAAGTTGCCTTGAGCAGCCCAGTCAAACTATCCCCTGTGAATGTCCTTGAATGATTCTGATGGCAACTTGTGCCTTTGTAAACCATCAGCTGCCCAATACCCATGCCCTCAGAAGCTCATTACTGTAAAAGTCCACCATTGGCCCATTCCCTTCCCATGCGGTGTTCCAGGTGCACACCGCACTTGCCATCCCTCCACACGACAGGATGGAATGGACAGCCAAGGGCCAATTTGTCAAAGCGAGCCCGTCACAGCGGAACTTCTCTGACGTGGCCATAAACCCTGCGGGGAAGGGGCCAACTGGTACGGCCGCTGTCTGGTTCTGTTCCACTACGACCAAAGACGGGGGCAACGAGCAGGCTGCCTACATTGAGTACTACACAGAGGACAGGCAGGTGTGCCACGTCACTGGGATGCCGACGGCTCCTGCCAACGAGGGGTGTCGACAACTATGCGATCATGGATGCAGATTGCATCCTGAGCCTTGTTCATGTTGTCCCGTGCTGCAAGGATCCTGATGTGCGCTTGCTGAACAGATTGTGTGTGGTGAATTGCCAAGTGGAATAGTTCTAGTTGCTTGCAGCAAGCAACTTTAGGGCGACCTCAGGGTAAGATGCGAGAAGGGCAAAGTGCGGAGGGCGGAGGGCAGAGGGCAGAGGCTGGCGGGCAGCGGGCAGAGGGCGGAGGAAGACCTCATAAGGGTACACGGGATGAACCGGGTCGATGGGGAAGTTAACTTGGTCATAGCGGAATGTCGTCACCACCACTGCTTTCTCGGCGCTGCCGTCCCTGCACTCTGCACGGCCATGGGGTGGATATGGGGAGATGGGGGAATGGTGATAGGGGAACATCAGAGTATGGGGTTCGGCGATGTACAAGGAAGAGCTTAAGTGGGAAGAGGGCACAGAAAAGAAGGAAGAGGGAAAGTGCGGAAGAGAAGGCATGGGCAATGGGGAAGGGGGAAGAGGGAAAGGGGAGAGGGTTGCAGGGAGAGGGGCGAGGGAGTGCTGGAGGCTATTGGCTTGACGCTTCTGCCGGCCACCTGCGGGCAAAGTTAATGGTTGTGATGGTGCTGCCACAACCGCCGCAGCACCCGAGGCGAGAACCCGATGGAAGGGACGAGAGGACCCCGAGGCGTTGGCCACTGTGGCTTGTCCCCACATGTGGTTGCAAGGTGCTCAGTCCCTCCCACACGCTGCCGCTGCCACTGCCACTATCAGCGCCATCTGCAGCCGCAGCAGCAGCCACAGCAGCAGCAATGGCAGCAGCAGAAGGGGCGGCACAAGCAACAGCAGCAGAAGGGGCAGCAGCAGCAGCGCTATGGAGGTCCATGCGGTCACTAGAGCCATGCTGCTCGCCTCTCTCCCCTCTCTCCCCTTCAGCCGCTCTCAGCATCCGTCTCATCCATTGCTGCTTCACCCAAACCCTCCTTTCTGCCCCCACCGCTTCTTCCCTAACAATCCCTCCCCTTGGGTCCCTGCTGCGCACCAGTTCCCCCCTCCGACGTCTAGTAACGTCCCCCACCTGGTGCTGCCCCCCACAAAGTTGCCACCCCCACCGTTCCAGCCGGCATCAGCACCAGCGCTAGACCGAGCCAAGGCGCCGGGGAAAGCGCGCGGCGAGAGAGAGCCCGCGCCATGGTCAAGGGGGAGAAGGAGCTCACGGAAAGGGGCGGCTGAGATGGCACAAGTCTGCGTAGGGCAGTGGGCAGCAAGGCGGCACAAAATGAGTGGCGGGATTCGCGGAGCGGGTGAGAGTGGACGATGCTGCCGCTGCGACTCACATCCCCGGTAGGTGCTGCGTTGCTCCCTATGAGACGCGGCCAGGGGGTGAATGCATCCGAAAAAACCCGGGCCTCAAACTAGCTTTCGGGGGGCCCCACATATCTTTGCTGGGAGTATGTGGGCAACATACTTTTCGACGCGACGCATACAGGGCAGCCGCGCGCAAAATTTCCAAACAAACTGCAGCAAATGGAAGTGGTTCGGGAGGACGTTCGGCAGTAAAGGTGATTGGCTTTAGCAGCTGGGACCGCGCCTCTGATTCTGGGCGTGCAATTTCCCGCGAAACAATTCCTCCAATGAAATTTCGACGCGTGTTTTGTACTGTTAGTTCTTTACATGCACGCGCGATTCAATCTGCAGAAAACGAGATAAATTATAATGGAGTTTCGGGTTTCGGACTGATTCGGTTTTTGTAATTTTATCGAAAGCTCCTACTTTAATAGGTGCGTAAACTGTTCATTAAAACGGGCCAGCCATAATACCACATAGCTAAGCAGTGTTTTTTCCAGTTATTTAATAGCACAAAATCTAAACGTGCATTAAATCATCTGAAAGACAGATTGCACGAAGCACTCATGAATCCTAATTATTTATTTAAGGTAATAATTCTCTACCTGCAAGCACGTGGCACTGCAGACAACCCATCTGCACTTATAAATACTACATGGCTCTCCGAAAATGCCCAAGCCTTCACATTCTCGTCCCACCATGGCCCATCGCCATCCGTGCCGCGGCAATTGCTTCAAGCGCCCATTACGGAGGTGGTTATAGTACACCTCCACTTGGTTGTGATTAACGCAAGAACTTTTGGACTTATCTTGGTTTTCATGGAGCACTCGATGCTCAACCTGCATAGTTCCAACAGCACACATGTTAAATATGAAGGTGCATGCGGTCTTTTATCTGAAAAGACACTGTTTTGTTCTCACCCCATGGAGCCAAAATGCGAGAAGCTTCAGTGGTAAAATTGATGGTAGGCGATGTCGGACGAGAAAAAGAGTCTATGATCGCCACGACGAATAGAGCCGTTCCGAATGGAATGTTGCGTGCGCGCATGTGCCACAAAGACATGGTGAACGTGGCGGCGCCTGAGACGGGTGATCATCCAACACGTGTGGGAAGAGACATGATAGGAACAAGGTTCAGGTGGTTGTAACAAACAAGGGATGAGGGAGCAAATAATGCATGCATAAACAAGAGAACAAGGGCGTCTGGAGGGAGGGAACGATTACGACTGGAGGAGAAACATATATAAAGGGAGGAAACTGCAGTGGGGGTGTGAATGGGAGATAGCTGCTTATGTGGGGTCGTATGCAATGGTATTATTACCCAGAGTGGGTGGGGGAGGGGAGGTTAGCAATGGGTGGGGGATTGATGGATTCGGGTCGAATGGACAGATGAAGGAGGGATGCATGGATACTGGAGGGGAGGATGTATAAGAGGGACGAAAAACGGGGGGTTGAAGGCTGGATAAAGGGATGGAGAGGCAGTAGAGGAGAGATGGTGGGATGGAGGGGTGGAGAACGGGATAGGGAAGGATGATGGACAGGAGAGGAGGATGGATTTGATGCACTGGGAAAAACAGGGAAGAACAGGGAAATGGACAGGTGTGAAGCATAGGAGTGGGTGGTTGGATGAGAGCGGAGGATGGATGGGAGCCGAGAATAGATGGGAGATGAGGCCGGATGGGAGATGAGGACAGATGGGAGATGAGGGACGGATTGGAGATGAGACAGATGGGAGATGAGGACGGATGGGAGATGAGGACGGATGGGAGATGAGGAGGGGTGGGAGATGAGGACAGATGGGAGATGAGGACGGATGGGAGATGAGGACGGATAGGAGATGAGGACGGATTGGAGATGAGAACGGATGGGAGATGAGGACGGATGGGAGATGCGGACGGATGGGAGATGAGGAGGGATGGGAGATGAGGAGGGATGGGAGATGAGGAGGGATGGGAGATGAGGAGGGATGGGAGATGAGGACGGATGGGAGATGAGGACGGATGGGAGATGAAGACGGATGGGAGATGAGGACGGATGGGAGATAAGGACGGATGGGAGAGGAGGAGGGATGGGAGATGAGGACGGATGAGAGATGAGGAGTGATGGGAGATTAGGACGGATGGGAGATGTGGAAGGATGGGACACGAGGACAGATGGGAGATGAGGACGGATGGGAGATGAGGATGGATGGGAGATGAGGAGGGATGGGAGATGAGGACGGATAGGAGATGAGGACGAATGGGAGATGAGGACGGATGGGAGATGAGGCGGATGGGAGATGAGGACGGATGGGAGATGCGGACGGATGGGAGATGAGGACGGATGGAAGATGAGGACAGATGGGAGATGATGACGGATGGGAGATGAGGATGGATGGGAGATGAGGACGGATGGGAGATGAGGACGGATGGGAGATGAGGACGGATGGGCGATGAGGGCGGATGGGAGATGAGGACGGATGGGGAGATGAGGACATCAAGTATACTGTATATGGATATGTGTGGAGTTGAAGGCTTAGAGAGGAAGGGATTAGATGGGGGTTTTGATGGTCAAGGGTTGTTGGGAGAGGAACGGTGGCAAGGTTTGGGACAACCGAAGGTGCAACTAAGGGGTGCAGGCCAGACCAAGCCACAGATGACTTATCAGGGGCATGGTCTAGCTAGAAGTTTCGCGGGTAAGTGTACCGTGCTCCATACGTCGCACCGTCGGGCGGTTGACCAAGAGGTCAAAGGCCTCATAGACATGCAGCCGTCCCTTAGTCAGCACCTTGTTCCGCCATGTGGTGATGCTCGCGCGGATTGTGTCCCACCTTGTTGTGTCAAGGGCGTACACAAGCGTCAAAAACATCCTCTTCTCCTCGCCTCTCCATCAAGAGCTATGAACAAGGCATCGAGGATCTTGGTACTGGTAGGCCACATGGTGAAGCCTTCGTTGCTTGCGAGGAAGAAGAGTATTTCGATAGCCTTGATCATGTACTCCTGTGGACGGGCGGGGTGGCACAGGACACAATATCAGTTAAACCAGCCACTCAATCCGTGGATCCTATCTACCAAAACCTGCCTATAAGAATGCATTCCCCAATCAGGGTTTAGCAAACTAGATTGGCGGGGAGACACGAAGCCTAGAGATGGATGTAGGCAAGAACGTGTCGAGGAAAGCACTTACAGGAAGGTTCGTTTTGACACTAGGGACCGATTCGAACGCCGAAACGAGCCGCTCGGCCCACGACTTCTGCTTCGGCGTCATTTGCGTGTAATCTATAGGCCGCCGGTCAAGATACTTGTCTGCAAACTCTCGCTCGAAATTGCGCTGCCCGACGCGGCCACATGTTGTGGCCACTAGGCGCCAAAACCGGATCAGCAGTTCCGACCATCACCCGCAAACTTCCCGGTGTTTGCAGCCCACCGCCGACCGTGCTGGGCATGCCACCCTGCTGGGCCGGTGCTGGACCCATACTGCGACGCGTCAACTCCGCCTCCAACTCCAAAACCCGCCGTTGCAGCTCTTGATTCGACGACGTTGCGCTTCAAAGATTGGCCCGGGTAACCGTATCAGTTGCTGCACATGTGGTGCCTATGACAAGCGGCACTTCCGCTGTCAAAAGCTCATCGCCTGGGGCCTGCTGCGAGGGTACATGGCACGGAGGTGGGGACATGCCTCTGGCGCCGGCCCTGACGACGAGAAGTCCCAAACAGGGGGGTGCAGAGGGCAGTAAGGGTGGGGACATACGAGGGGTGAGGGATGAGAAGCGGAGGGGTGGGAAGGGAGCACGGCGGAGGTGGGGGAAGGAGGAATGGGGCACCTGGGAAGAGGAGGGCTGATGGGTGGAGGAGGGCAGCTGCCATGCTTGTCCTTGCTGGTTGACCTCCGCCCTTGTCGGTTGATCCACTGCTGTGTGTGGACCATCGACAAGTCACCATCATCCCACTCCATTCTCCTCCGAGTCAAGAAACGAGTCGTCGTCGCTCAGCCAATCGCGGTCTTCGGCAGCATGGACCTTCTTCCCTCTCACCACACGCGGAGAGCGCATGGCCTGCACGGGCGCCTCAGGTACATGTGTATCACGTTGGGCTGCAGAGGGGTTGGGGTTTGCGGCAATGGCCGAAGCCGGGTCCGAACATGCATCATGTTGAGGCTGCACGTGTGGGTGAGGAGCGGGAGCAGAAAACGCAGCTACGGGAACACGTAGGATCCCTGCGGTTGGTGTCGCAGTGTTACTGAAATGGGAATCGGAGCGCAGAGGTGAAGGGCACAGCTGGGCGGAAGAGGAGTGAGGGGAACAGGATGGTGGTTGGCCAGATGAAAGTAGAGGCGATGAAGAGGGCAGCAGGGCGTTGGAGAGCACATGAGAGGAGTGCAACTGGTCAGGGTAGATCAGAGGTGTATTGCAGCGGCTGAGAGGGGGAAAAAATGGTGGAGGGCAGCTGGGAGGAGTGCATTAGGTGGTTCGAGTGCACAGGGGAGGAGTGCTGCTGGGCGGAGGAGAGAGGGGGAAAGAGTGCTGAGAAGCGGACGGGAGCGGCGGGGAGGAGTGCTGCTGGGCGGAGGATGGCAGGGGGGAGGGGTGCTGCTGGGCAGAGGAGAGCAGAGGAGAGGACTGCTGCTGAGCGGCAGAGTTCTGTTGGGCGGCGGAGGGCAGGGGGGAAGAGTGCTGTTGGGCAGAGGAGAGCAGTGGTGAGCAGTGCTGCTGGGTGGCGGAGGACAGGGGCGAGGGGTGCTGCTGGGCGGAGGAGAGCAGGGAGGAGGTGTGCTGCTGGGCGGCGGAGAGGAAGGGGGAGGGGTGCTGCTGGGCGGAGGAGAGCAGAGGAGAGGACTGCTGCTGAGCGGCGGAGTTCTGTCGGGCGGCGGAGGGCAGGGGGGAAGAGGGCTGTTGGGCGGCGGGCTGTTACGCATAATGAGTGAATAGCAGTGGGCTGTTACGCATAATGAGTGAATATCACACTAAGATGAATGTATGAGTTTGATAAGCCACTTCAACCGTAAATGTCTCTACAAGTATACGCGTGCACACACCTTAACAAAGCATGGGAACTTCTTACGGGACCTGGTAAGACCAGGCATAGGGTGTAATGGGGTTCTGCTGGGATATGGGGCGCTGCTGGGAAGTGGTTAAAACAGGGATTTCAAGAAAGTACGGAAGTGTGGTGCTGCTAGGATATATAGAAATCTAGGCTAGGGTCATAACAGGGCGGACGTATCGTCACGTATGAGGTGAATCCTCATCCCTGGCATGCGGATACGCCACGTCAGCACCGGATTTGGCGCCGTGTCATATGAATTTGTCGTGCTACGGGGTCAAATCCGCAACCCTGGAGGTGCCGACCATGGAGAAAACTACCCTCGCCTCCTCCCCAAAGTGAGAGAATTTGGTATCGCTAAAGAATTTGCATACGAGGGCAGTATTCACTTCAGTGACTGCACAATAGTTAATCTTCAAAAGTATGTTCTGCACCCAAGGAGTCTGGAAACGAGAGTGGGGTGAAAGGAACTCATGTCTCACCTGACTGAGTGCACTTGGCGAGCAGCTGTCGAGGCTTGCGTGGAAAAAAATGTGTAGCATAAGGGGGCTTCGATATGGGTTGGGATATCTTTGTCCAATGTTTGTTGGCCAATCCGCAAAGTAGAAAACTGGTGTAGCACGAACTGGTGATAGGAAACCTGCGGCCAGGCAAGTTCTGTTGGCCAAGCGGTTGTTTCAGGTGTGTCCACACTGCCAGGTGACAGGAGCAAACACACCTGGGAGAGCACCTTCACTGTCATGAACATATAATGGATGAGCGGATGAAGAACAATGAGTAAACAATCTGGCCAGGGTACAGTACTAGGCTCACCTTGGTCACGACCAATTCGGTTAGGCCAGGTCATGCTGCCTCTGACTACACCACATCTGTCCATCCTCACCCTTGAGAGAGCTTTCTGCTGGCGCGATATTGGACCACAAACCTGCAGCAGTTCACCCAAGCAGCAAATCCCCCCGGTCCTTGCTTCTGACGTGTGTGGTGCGGCGGATACGGCGCTGGAGACGCTTCCTCCCGCATTGCAGCTGAACGAGCCAGAGGTGAGGTTGCGCCAGCGGACCTGCGTGCCAGGCAAGGGTATTCGCCGTGCTGATGGGGAATCCGCCCGCCATTGCGCCGGATCCGACGCTGACATGGCGGACCTTAACGCCAGGCTAGGGGATTCGCCACGCTGACGGGGAATCCGCCCGCCCTGGCGCCGGATCTGGCGCTGACGTGACGGATCTGCGCGCCAGGGAAGGGGTTTTGCCGTGCTGATGGGGAATCGCCAGCCCTGGCGCCGGATCCGGCGCTGACGTGGCGGACCTGTGCGGCAGGCAAGGGGATTCGTCGTGCTGACACGGAATCCGCCCGCCATCACGCCGGATCCGACGCTGACGTGGCATACCTGCGCGCCCGGCAAGGGGATTCGCCGTGCTGATGGGGAATCCGCCCGCCATCGCGCCGGATCTGAGGCTGATGTGGCGGATCTGCACGCCAGGCAAGGGGATTCGCCGCGCTGACGGGGAATCTGCCCGCCCTGACGTCGGATCCAGCGCTGATGTGGCGGACCTGCGCGCCAAGGAAGGGAACACGCCGTGCTGAAGGCGAATCCGCACGACTGGCGCATGGGGCAGAAGGGTACATGGAAAAGGGAACCCTGAAACCGCATTCATCTCTTCCCCCTATTCTGGGAGCACCCAAAATCCCAGTTTCCCCCAAATCCCAGCGGCACAAGGGTATCTATGTTACGCTCAAACCCCACCTGCGCCCCATTAATATGTTACCCACATATCCTCATTTTGTGCAAAACTCAGCAGCACTCTATTTTCCCATTTTCCCCAAATCACAGGGGAGGTTTAAACGCATCCCTGGTTTCCCCCCAATCCTTGTTATGTACCGGATCCCTGTTCTTCCCATGTAAAGCATCACCCCTCATCACTGCTTTTACCGCCTTTAAGGAGAAACCCATTTGCAAGTTTCCACACATCTGTATATCGCCCATATCCCTGCAGCTCAACCTTTTCTTTAGTTTCCCTACTCCAAGAGTTTTACCATCCTTGTTCTCTTAATATTGCTGCAGTGCCCCATTTCCTTGTTTCACTCACACCCCTGCTTTCCCCATAACCCAGTAGCACCTTGTCTTCCTTTCTTCCGCTTTGCTCTGTTTATACCGCATCCCTCTTTCTCCTCATATCCCAGCAGCTCCACATCTCCAGCGTCCCCCCGTGACTCCCTCTTCCTCATACCCCAGCAGCTCCACATCTCAAGTGTGGTCCCGTGACTCCCTCTTCCTCGACGGTGAGTTCCTCAGCCTGTTGCAGCCTCGTTGCCCCTGACACTCCTAGTAGGTGCAGAGTTTAGGCCTGTATACCTTGCTAGTGAAGAAATTCCCATTTCCTGTCGTGTGATATCTTGCTACTGTTTTACTCACCACCTGTTCTGCATCCTTTCTGTGATCATTTTCCCAATCTAAACCCCTTTTGGGCTTGCAAGAGAGTCAAGAGTCCATGGACTTCTACGCATGCCAATTCTGCAATAAGCGCTTTCGCGGCCCTGCCGAAGTGTCGAACCATGAGCGGTCGCATCGGAATGACGCTTTTCCAGAGCCCCATCCGCGGGACATCCTCGTCCAGCAGTATGAGGGGGTGTTGTGGGACCCACCAACAGCGGAGAACTCAGCTGCTGCGACGCTGAAGCTCCGGAGCTGCAGGAGGAAGACCTTGAAGGGGAGGATATTGGAGGAGAGGAGGGCCTGGTAGGGGAGAAAGGATTAGCAGACCAACAGGCCATAGAGGAGGATGAGTTCGTGCCTGCAGCTGCTTATTTCGCAGAAGAGGACGACGAGGTGTCTAGTTTGACACTCGCTTCGAGACTTCTAGGTTCCTAACACAGTGCAATCGTGGCGTAGGATTGTGCGGGCCCGACGTGGATGCTTTCCTTCGTCTTGTAAACCATCCCGGCTTTGTTAAGTATGATTTGGGAGACTGGAAAAGGAAAGGGGCTGTCGAGAAGTACATGCGGAGGAGGAATTGGGCGTTGAGAAAGTTAAGTTCAAGACCACGCAGGTCCAAGTGACAGGGTGGCCTAAGTCATTCGCCGTCAAGTACCTGGACTGGGTAGAGGTAATTTCTGGCATGCTCTACAATGGTGTGTAGGCATTGTCTTTCGTTAAATGGACCTATACTTGGATGCACAATGGATATATTGTTCACTCTACTTGTGCATATTTTGGCAGTTATTGCGAAGCATGTGGGCAGACCCAAAGAATGCTCAGGGCTTTGTACATCACGCGGCCCCATGATGACGTTAAGCTAATGCAGGGATTTGTGTCTAACTGTGTTAGCATCCAAAGGTGGAAGCTGCATATGTACGGCCAGGCCAGCTCCAGGCCCGCCTCCTGGGCGGATCACTCGCGGCGACACGGGCAATGACGGCCTTGTCTTGCCGAGGGAGGACGAGGGGGGTGTGGAAGGGGGTAGGGATAGGAGCCACGACAAGGGGCGAACCGAGGATGGTGTCACCATGTCTGCGTCAGACGTGCCGCGCAGACTGAGGAGTGGTGTTGGCGATGCGTGTCGCTGGCGATGCGTGCCGTTGCGATGTGTGCCGCTGGCGATGCGTGCCGTTGGCGATGCGTGCCGTTGGCGATGTGTGCCGCTGGCAATGCGTGCCGGCTGGCGATGCGTGCCGTTGGCGATGCGTGCCGCTGGCGATGCGTGGTGCTGGCGATGCGTGGCACTGGCGATGCATGGCTTTAGATATGCGTGGCACTGGAGATGCGTTCGCCCTGCAGCGGCGCTAACGAGGTGTGGCGGGGATAGATCGCGGAGCCGCACAAGGGTGGCGTCGCATCGCCCGTCAAATGAGTGAGGGCACGTCGCACGGCCTTCCGTGTCCTGGTCGCCATTTGCTCGCCACCTCACGTGTCGAGGCGGCCTTTCTGCACCACACCGAACGTCGCGCGTGCCGCTGCCTATGCGTGCCCTTGACTGGCCGTCTACTGCGGGTGTGAAACCACTCTGGGTACGGTGCCGCCTTTCATTGCCAGCGCACAAGGGCAAGATGCGCGCGGGAGACCTGGCACTATGACACTATCGCCTTGAGCGCCGCTGCTACTGGCTTGGCGTGCTCAAAGGGAGTGCAGCCAGGGGAACGTGGGGGTCCGTTACGACAGACAGCAGGAAAAGGTCGCGCGGCTGGGCCGCCGTGAGACGAGCGAAGGCGGGAAAATGTGAGATGGGCGAGGAACTAACGTTGAATGACTGGGGAGCTGTTACGGTGCCGCATGGAGTGGGAGAGGGAGGAAGCAGTCTAGTCTATCCTCCCTCTGCTTCGATGGATGAGGAAGCTGTAATTGTGTGGATCGATCCCAGCAGTTCTGGTTCAGCTCTCTCTCACATTGGTCCTAACACAATTAACAGACATCGCACACACCAAGACAGCAGCGCATGGGTCGTTTCGGGCAGGTGTACAGTATTGGCGAGACGGATTTTGGGAAGCCCCCAAAACTGCAACGCACACCCACGCGGTCGGGGTCATGCTGGCTGTGTTTCAGGGCAGTGGATAGTTTAGGCACTTTTTCTTTTAGGGTTTAAGAACAGGGTCTGGCGGGGCGATGCGAAGAAGGCGGTTGGGTAACGGGTGACTGACACGATTAGCCCGCTAACGTTGAGAACGCACACTCGCACGCGAACTTCAGAATGGGCTCTCGAAATTGCCCCCCGACATGTGCAACGCAGAGTCATCTGACGACCTGGATTCAAAATACTGTACAGGTCATATGCCCTGAGAGCAACTTCCTTTTACGCCCGGGAGTATCTCATAGGCATTTTATCCTTAAGGACCTCTCCTTGTAAGCAAAGTGTACCCGTCTCAACTGAACAGTAAATATGACAGTCAAGTCGGATGATGTAAGACCGTCCAATCATTTTCTCCTGTGCTTTCAGAGCGACCACGCCTAGTGGTCGGCAAGCCTCTGAAAATCCAGATGTGTCAGGCTCGCCAACCAATGTCGATTTTTTTTTTTCCAACAGATCGCTGACGGTCCAGTAGGATTACGACTGCAGACCACAACCAATAGGAAATAGAAAATCCGTCAAACCACAACCAATAGGAACGCACCCAGGAGCGCGTCAATGAATCTGTTATTCTTTTGAAACCAGGCCTGTGGAAGTGAGGGCAATTACACTGCTTTGTCAAGAAAAACAGGGCGAAATTTCGACGCCCGAGTTTTGAGTAGGGGATGGATGGACCCTGAAAATTTTAATGTAGAAGTTCACACCCCTAGAAAAAATGGCTCCCCCTGTCATTGTCAGGAGTGGCACATTCTGAGCAGGGCGAAACGCATGCCTGCAAAAACAGTCAAAAGTTTAGAGCTACCCAGCCAGGAAGTCTTGGGCAAACTCGGATTATGCAGGGTGACCCCTAGGTTATCGAGGGACTAGCTTGAAACGAAAAGTTGATACACAGGTGGAGAGACTTGCGACGCTGCGACGTTTCCTCAATCGCTGCATTACGCCAGTCAAGCCGCCCATGCACAGTACACAAAAAACACCGCCCCATTTCCTGGGAAAATCCTATAGTCCACGTTGCCCCTACCGTACGGCCCGTATTCGTTGTAAGCGAAATCTCTCGCGTCGCCCCCCGGGCTCTCAGGGCATATGACTTGTACTGTATTGCCTGGGCCGAACTCTTTCACGAGTGTTCCGCAATTGTAGAATATGGCGACATGAACAACGCAGGAAAGACCTTTCCAGCCATTTGTTAGAAACTAACGGTAAGCAGCATTTCCAGTTGTCGCTAACCGCAAGTGTCCGCCAGCCTGGCTGAGACCACCACCATTACACTGTAGTCGATGCCAACGAACGGCCCGTCCCATTGTAATGTAGTGCACTGGGCTCTTGCATGGGGCGTAAGCTTGAACATGGTTGTATCCAAACAATGCGTACAGTGGAGTGTACTTTATAGTATAGGCTTAAGCAACATACTCTGAATAATAGCAGTGCATGTTTATGTTTCTACAAACTTATGCTATGGAATACCAAAACAATTACAGAACACGTGGTCACGGGGGTCATCTTGAAATGAAAGCAAGGGAAAGGGGACATTACGAAACTAAAGCAAACAACCACATCACATGACACACAAAGTAAAGAAGCACGCAAGGAGAAGGTGCACGAAGAGCACCGAACACGAGAGCCAAACACACAAAATAGCATAGCCCCGCAAGTCCACCAGGTAGTGCACATCCGCCCACGGGGCCCCCCACCCGTCCTCTCGCTCGCCATCCCCCTGCTCCGTCCGCACACTCTCAGGCCCACCCATCATAGAAGCAGCACGCAACAAGATGACCCGTGCCTGGGCCCGTTGCAGTGCCATGCCGATAGCAGTCTTGAGAGACCCCACCAAGTAAGCTGCAAAAAACTTCTCGTTCCCAACACCCGCCCCCTTCCTCCTTGCCACCTGGAGCTGTACATCCCCCTGTTGGCGGAGCCATTGGCGAAACCCTCCCCCGAGTCAACCCCACGTTTTGACATTGAGCGGAGTAAACTGCACACCCCGATGCCGCTGCAACAGTGCCTTGTAGTCTGCCGTCTTGGACTTCTCCCGCTTGCGAGCTGCGAATTCCAGCTGGCCATGCTGCTGCGAGGAGAGCGAGATAGGATTTCGACAGCAGCTACGCGCCCCCCCGCCCGCCCCCATCCGCGCCCGCACTCACAGCCACCGCCCCATACGCGCCTGTGCCCACGCCCACATGCCCATCCCCAGCCTCGCGCCGGCCCACGTTCCCCTCCTCATCCGCAACCATGCCCTCGTCGCCGCCCCCAGTCACCCCCGCCCCCGCCGCCGTCCACCACCCCACGCTTCAAAAGGCAACACTTGTGCGATTGCACCTCCAAGCCAAGCCTCCCCAACCGCTCGTGCAGGACGTCGTACGCCAGCAGGACCCGGTCTATGCGGATTGGCCAGCAACCCCATATTAAGGTGCGTTCAGGAGCCATATCACAGCACACGCGGTGTCAATATGCTTCGCGAAGATGAGTTGGCATCGTCGAGATGACGAATTCGCAGCGATCCTGAAGTGCTCTCCATGCCTTGCCTTAAACGGGCGACTAAGAGCCGGAAACAGCCGTCACGCTCATGCACGTGCACCCCTCGAAGTGAAACTTAGCCATCAATATGTTCTCCTGGTGTGCTTTGCCCAGGCCATTCCAAACCCAGCGTCAAATTCCCCGGGACGTCGAATTCGCGTCGTTCATAAAATGCTCTCCGTCCTTGCATGAAACAAGTGACTAAGACATGAAAAGAGCCGTCACGCTCACGCACGTGCACCCCAGTGTCTGAAACATGGCCAACAATACCATCTCGTGATGTGCTTTTCCCAGGCCACTCCATACCCGGCATAAAATTCGCAGGGACGTCGATTCGCAGCGTTCTTCGATCGATCTCTCTCCTTGCACGAAACGAGCGACTAAGACACAGAGACATCCGTCACGCCCACTACGTGCTCTCCAGGGTGTGAAAACTGGCCATAAATACCCTCTCATGGTGTGCTTTTCCCAGGCCACTCCAACCCGGCATCAAAATTCGCCGGGACGTCGAATTCGCAGCGTTCTTCGATCGATCTCTCTCCTTGCATGATACGAGCGACTAAGACGCGGAGGCATCCATCACGCCCACCACGTGCTTGCTTGGGTCACAAAATAGGCCATAAATACCCTCTCGCGGTGTGCTTTGCCCAGGCCACTCCAAACCCGGCATGAAAATTCAAGGGGACGTCGAATTCGCAGCGTTCTTCGATCGATCTCTCTCCTTGCACGAAACGAGCGACCAAGATACGCAAACTGCCGTGTCTCCCAAGCACGTGCAACCCAGGGTGTGAAACTTGGCCAGCAGTCCCCTCTTGTGGTGTGCACTGCCTAGTGCACTCCTAACCAGGCATAAAAATCGTCGTGCAACCCAAGCTCGGTATACTGCCGAGACGCATCGGCCAGTGTTGCATTGCAGCTCAATCTGGTCTCAGCACCCTCGCGCCCATATGAAGCGAGAGACCTGCCGTGCGCACTTGCGCATTGCTGTAGACTCTAAACATACATATGTGCACGATTTACGGCGCAAGCATAAACATCCGCTTCAATCGGAATAGGTCATGAGGCTGAAGTGAGAATTGTACACAACAGCATTACCCTAGGAAA